CACCCCCACCCCCAGAGCCGCAACCGGCCTGCGGGCAAGGGAGGGAACGGGCACCGCTCACAATCCTCTTTCTGAACAAGTCCCCCCAGCTTAGTAGGCCCCCTTGGCCACCCAGCCAGCAGGTTCCCCCCACTGGAGCAAGGAAGCTTACGTTGACCTGGGTGTAAAACAGGGACAAGCCGGCTTGGATGTGCAGCCCTTGGGGTGCCCGCAGATACCCCTCCCCCATTGGGTGCAGTTCCTGCAAGGCCAGAGGAGGCGTCAAAAGCCTGGGTGCACAGCAGAGAAAGGCGGCCCTGCCCCCAAGCCTTTGCAAGTCCAGCCACGTCAGGAGCCGTCCCTGCTTTCCTGTGGGAATGCCACGGGGTGATCCATTCCTGGGGCTGGCCCTGGCATGCCCCCATCCTGCAGCCTGTGAAAGAGGAGAGAACCATGCAAACTATATTACATGCGCACGCACGCACGCACACACATTGCACCTTCCTCCAGGGCCACAAGCATGGACCCACACACATAGCCCTACCTGCAGACAACTCTCCCGCACCCCTAAAGGCGCTGCTCCCCCTTTTCCCCACCAGAGGTTGTTCCCTATGGGAGTCACGCCATGCTCCCACACTCTGGGCCAAGAGAGAAACTACCATCATCTCCCCTTTCAGCCCGGGGGGGGGGCGGAGGGGCGGAGGTTGCTTTGACTTCCTCCCCCACTCGCTCAGAAAGGACCACCTCTAACCTCCGTAGGGCACAATCTCCCATTTCCTTCCTTGCCCAGAGAAAGGGCGATATGGCCACCCTACAGCCCACCCCGATTTGCACAGGGGGCTGGCTGGCTGAAAGCCAAACCCACCATCTGGCCCCCTTGGGTGGTGTTCAGGGCATCTGCTCAGCGCCAGAATGCAACACAAGAGGTTAAGGGGGGGAGGGCCTAGCCCCCTCCACCACCACCAGCAAGGTCAATCTTGTATGTACCATTTCTCTGCCCACCTTGGCAGTGCAACAGCAAGGAAGTCAGAAATACTTAGGGCTGCCCCCATTTCCTTACAGAGTAAGCAGAAGCCCCACTTTCTTCTCCCCTGCATGCATATTTATATTTATTAAGCAATAACAAGCAGGAACTAAATCTGGCCCTTTCCAGGAAGTTCTGCCTCTCAGCCAAAGTTCTCTTGCTTCATTGACTCTTAAAAAGGAAGCAATATGCCATGTTCTGAGGCCTCCACCACCCAAAATGGTTTTTTTCAAATTAAAATTATTTTTACGGCCACTAGAGGGCACAAGGTTTTTAAAACAAACTTTCAATTTAAAACATTCAGTTTTTAAAATCCATTTTATAGTTAGCAAAAATCCACTTGTGACCTCTACCATGCAGAATCACTTTAATGAAATATAACAGGAAAACCAAGCATGCAAAACAGAGTCGGCTGCCCTGGCACTGCTGGCAATTCTGACAAACCTCCCTTGGTCCTACCGAGACCATCCACCCTGATCAGAAATGCTCCATAGTTTTGCATTTCTCTTTGGCACATTGGTCTAAAGTCAAAAATCGGAGCCGGGCCTGCCTTTGCAGCCAGCCCAGCACAGAGAGGGGAAACCCCTCCCTCCTGCTCCTTCTCCCCCACCTCTGGTCCCTCCCTTCCCTCCCCCCATACTCACACGCCAGCAGCTTCTCGCATCCTCTCCAGCTTCGCACACAGGTCCATCACCTTCTTCCGACTCCTGTGGGTGGAAAGGAGATAATCCTGGATGAGGCACAGAGATCTATGCAAAATCGGTGCCCAGGCCTGGGGGCACCTTAAATGTTGCCCACCCACCCACTTTGGTGGCTGTCTTGTAACCTGCCCAGGAGAGGCACAGGTGGCGAGTGAAGGGCCGAGGGAGAACACCAGGCGCTCTCCTCTAGAGTCAGGTAGTCTTAACACCTGGAACGAGTTTCACTTCTCCTGTGGGGGGGTTGGGGTAGGATATGCAATGTGGATCAGGCCCTCCCTTCCCGGCCTCACTTCTCTTCCCGCTCGTTGGCCCAGTTCAGCCGCTTGGCCTCTAGCGCCTTCTCCTGCAGCCAGCGCGCCTCCAGGTCCTGCCGCTTCTGTTGCGCCTCCCGCAAGAGACACTGCGCCTCCTCCAGCTCCGTGCGCAGCCCCTTCGCCTCCTCAGACAGAATCCAAACCTTCGACTGCGCCTCCTCGTACTGGTGGGCAAGAACAGCCACGTCCTGCGCAAAGCGCCCCATCCTGGAAGAGGCCAGAGACGGAACCCGAGGCTTCCGGGAGCCCCCGTCGGTCGATCCCATCCCGCCCCGAGCCAGGGGTACCAAGCCATGCCGGCCACCCTGGACACATGGCGGGGCGGGGGCGAAGGAGGGAGGGGAAGGGGGCGCTACAGCTCCTGCTCCACCCCTGCAGGCTGGGAATGTCCACCTCCCACATGCTTTCTCCTGCAAAGAGCTCCTTTGAGAGGGAACAAAGGGGGGGGGCATAAAGGCTGCCCAGAAAACAGAAAGCCAGGCTGGAGGAAGACAGCGATGTTTGCCACCCTGTGGTTCAGAGGAGAAGCTGCCCACCCGCCCGCCTGCCCGCCCAGCAGCCAGGGCCAGCGAGCGAGCACCCAGCGAGTGAGCACCAGCGCCAAAAAGGTCCGGCCCAGAGAAGCGACGCCCGTGTGGAAGAGAGAGAAAGAGGCTCAAAGAGAAAAGTGGGAGGACGCGGCACCCACAGGAAGGCCCTCTCCTCCTCCTTCTCCTTCCCCTTCCTAGGCATTTGCTGCCTTGACCAGGCCGAAAGAGACGCTGTTCATGGAGAAGGGGCTGCCTTTCTTTGCCCACCCCACCCAGGAAAGGGGAGAAAAAGCTACCTTGCCCGTTGCTCCTGGTTCTCAGCTTCTGTCTCCCTCAGGACATCTGCGGCCAGGACGACCTGTTGGCGTAGCTGGAAAAAGGGTGCAGGATTAGACTTGGCGGGAGAGCCCCGCTAACGGCCGGGGTTGGCAGCCCCCCACCCTGCCGCCCTGCCGCCCTTGCCCTGCCCTTCTACACCAGAGCACCCTCCCATCCTGGGGCAACACAGCCCTCCATTCCCATCTGCGGATCTGGCGCCACTGCCCTTTGGCCAAAGCTGTGCTCCTCTTCTCAAATGATGCACAGAGCCATGGGGTTGGGTAGGGAGAAGGCTTAAAAAACCTGCCAGTACAAGCCTGGCCCCTGGCCTGCGCATACACGCGCATGGGCGCACACACACGTACACCCTTCTGCATCGACCATCAGCGGCACCCCTCTGCCCCCACTCCTGTTTGCAGACGCGTTAGGGAAGGCTGTGAGGCATGCCTGAAGTTCTCTGGAAGTGTAGGGAGGGCACTCTGTGCATGCTCAGAAATGCCATTAACCTCCTTTCAGGGGCATAGTCCCTCAAAGCAGCAACGGAGGTGAGCCTCCGCAAAGAGGAGGGGGGCGGGCAAACGGGCCAACCTCCTCCACTCGCTCCCCCCCCTCGACCCAGACGCGTTAGGGAAGGCTGTGAGGCATGCCTGAAGTTCTCTGGAAGTGTAGGGAGGGCACTCTGTGCATGCTCAGAAATGCCATTAACCTCCTTTCAGGGGCATAGTCCCTCAAAGCAGCAACGGAGGTGAGCCTCCGCAAAGAGGAGGGGGGCGGGCAAACGGGCCAACCTCCTCCACTCGCTCCCCCCCCTCGACCCCG